GGAAATGACCTTCTGGCTCTACCTGAATTTGAGACAACCAAGCTTTCTGATGGCTAATTTCACCTTCCAAGCTCTCTGTGACTAGGGAGGAAACACATCGGATAAATGACGTGAGTGCCCTGGCCCTGACATGCCGGGTTATACACTGGCCTCTGGTGAGAAGAACTGAGTCTACGCCTGGGACACTGAAACAGCCAGGATCTCAGAACATGAACAGAACTGAGTTCCCCAAAACTTGTAAAGCTGAGTTCTAGATCCTGGACTGTGTTGACTTCACCAAGATAAAACTCCTTGGGACCCGTGGCCTAAGCAGGGACATGCTTTCAAACAGGTGGCCTTCATTGTGCCTTCACACTACAATAGAAAACTCTGCTCCCCACATACTTGCAGTTTCATTGAAAGCTTTTTAAGATCTACCACTTCATATTACATCCCTGAAATCTTCCCACTGCCTAGCGATGCTGCTGGAAAGGGGCCGGAACCAGAAAGACAGAGCGAATTTGATCATTTCACCCCTGGGTCCGACCTGTGACTGGAAAGCAGTTCTGGGCCAGAGTAGAGAAGACAGGAACTGAAGCCAGGGCCTCCTGATCTGCTCTTCACTACCTCTGGGATTTCAGGTGAGTGACAACCTCCTGGGGCCTCAGTTCCCTCATCCGTATAATGGGGATAATAATTATGCATACCATATATGGTTTCTGTGAGACTGAGTTTAAAAATGTAAGTTAAGAAATTAGCACTCCTCCTGCTAGATACAAAGCACTCAATAAAAGACTGCTCGTATTCTTTTATTTTTATAGTTCACATGATACTTTTTATGCTGGAAGGTACCTGGTAGACACTGTTGTTCTGAGAGTCAGTTCTGACAATGGCCATTACTTTCTGTTTTTCCCACAGCCAATAGACAAGGTTGGACTCTGGAGGTGATGTTTGAGTCAACAGGTATTTGGAGTCCGGAGAAAAAGCCATGCAAGTAAACTTTTGAACTGGGAAGTCAAAATTATTAAGGACTTTGCGCTTCCGGCAAGGGATGGATGACAGTTCATAAATGGTGATGGCAGGTTTTTCTTGCACTATCTCGGACATAGCGAGGTATCGCCGATTAGGGCTGATGGACAAGGCCAACATGGCTTGACTCTTGTCTGAGCCTGCAAACAGGTGAAAGGAAATAATGAGGGTTGATCACCAAGACTCAACCGGGACCAGGCACGGTGGTAGGCTCTGCTGATGTAACAGGGGCCACGCGCAGAGACAGGTCATTGTCAACCGGGTGAAGCTCCTTGGTACAACTATGCCTGAGGTGTGATGAAAATGACTAGGATGGGCACCTCCCTGAGGCCAAGGTGGGAGGGGGACCGATTCTTGAAGGAGGACAAAGTGGGACAGGGAGGAGAATGGGGCAGGTGGCAGGAAGAGCAAAGGTGAGGGTGTGAGAAAGTAGGATGTTGCTGCAGCATTGCATGTGAGCCAGGGGAGGCCACGGATAGGTCTAGAGGGGTGGAACAGGGTCAGATCACACAGGCCTTTATGTCCTGCATGTGCAGCACTCAATACTCTTCCTCTGCTTTCAAGGCTGCGATGCTAAGTACTGGATTCCTCAGCCTCCCTTCAGTTAGGTGATCTATGTGACATTCTGGCCAGGAGATAGATGCAGAAGTTGGCTGGACTGGCTTTCTGGTAAAGCCTTTGCTTTCCTGAAAACCAGGGATAGATGCATTCTATCCTCTTTTCCCTGGAACAGAGAGGTGATGCCTCGAGATATGGCAATAATCTTACGACAATGAGGTAACAAGCATGAGAGTGAAAGCTATGGTCCTCTACCTAGCAGTGCCCAAAGCAAAGGTTAAAGTGCAAATACTCTACATGTAAAATGCAATCAAGGCCATGTTATGATTTTCGTGGGCTCTGGGTACTACTGCTTTCAGGAGCCCCTTCCTCCATTGAAGAATGTTTAAAAGTATATTTTGTGATTGCACTGGTATAAAGAAAAATATATCCAGGATGTATTTGTTATGACACATTTATTATTTTTTTCCTGATTTTATTTATTTATTTTTTAGACTTTATTTATTTATTTATTTTTAGAGAGAATGGAAGGGAGGGAGAAAGAGAGGAAGAGAAACATCAATGTGTGGTTGACTTTCATACACCCCCTGTACTGGGGACCTGGCCCACAACCCAGGCATGTGCCTTGACTGGGAATCAAACCCACAACCCTTTGGTTTGCAGGTTGGTATGCAATTCCCTGAGACACACCAGCCAGGGCTGATTTTAAAATAAGTTAAAATTAAAACATTTCCTTGGGTCCCCAAATATATCACAGGCCCTAGGCTCTATGTCTTCTGTGCTTTGTGGGTAGTCCTCTGTCTCAGTTAACAGCAACACCAACCTTTTGGCTAATCAGGCTAAACACCTTGTTGCTTCTTTTTCTCTTCCACCAGGTATCTGAGAAAATCTGACCCCTCCACTCTCAAAATGTATCCAGGATTTGATCTCTTCTCACCATCTCCATCACCTACAACCTGCTCCTTGACACCGTTTTTGCTCATCTGGATTATAGCAATAGTTTCTCAACTGGTCTCCTGCATCCTCCCTTGCCACTCCTTAAATCGATTCTCTATACAGTTAACAAAATGAACCTGATGAAACAGAAGTCAGATCATATTATTCTCTGTGCTTAGAATCCTCCCATGACTTCTCATTTCATGCAAAGTGAGAGCCGATGACCTACAAAGCCCGATGTGGTATTGATCCCATCACTTCCTTGCCTTACCTCTCACTCCCTATTCCTCCATTTACTCCATTCCAGCCACACTGGCTTCCTTGCTATTCCCCTAACACACTGAGCACCCTCCTAACTCAGAGCCTCAAAGGTGAAAGACAAAAGTATAAAGCATAATAGATATAGGAGAATATATTAATAATCTTGGGTTAGGAAACAATTCCTGAACAAGATACAAAAAGGAAAAGGTTGGTGAGCTTCATTAAAACCAAGAATTTCTATCCATCAAAATACCATAAGGAGGGAGAAAACACAAGCCCCAAACTGGGAGAAGTCATTGCAATACATATATTTGACAAAGTATTGGTAAACAGAATATAGAAAGAATGCTCATAAATCGGTAAGAAAATTACCCCCCAAATCCCTTAGAAAAATGGGTAAAAGACATGAATAAGGCATTTCAATGAAGACTAAATAGGAACAGCCCATAAACATGTGAAAAAATCATCCTCATTAGTAATAAAGAAATGCACACTAAAACCAGTAACATACACTTCCTCAATCACTAGATTAGTAAAAAATTAAGAAGCTGGACAAATGTTTGCAAGATTTTGGGGAATGGCAAGTCCTGAGCACCCCTGGTGGAGGTACAGAACGGTACTACTGTACCAGTTTTAGCTCTGGCTGTGTGCCTTGGAGGACCCCTGTGCAAAGGGACAAGCATACATGAATGCAAAAATTTTATACTGGCATGGTTTGTAATAGCAAAAAAAAAATGTTGTGTCCCAAAAGTCCATTAACACTAGAATTTATAGACACATTTGAGGCATTAGATTCATAGCTTGGAACACTGAGTAGCAATAAAATAAACTCAAGATGCACAATTTCAGAAGCAAGATGCTGTACAAAAGAAGCAAGTCAAACTACATATACTATGATTCCATTTATATAAAGTTAATAAACAGCAAAAACAAAACTTAATGGGGTTAGAAGTACGAGGTTTATTCAGAAAATGTCCAGCCATCATTAAGGTCCCAAGGTGCCTACTCTGAAGGGGACTTAAGTGCCACTGTCCTATGTACAATGTTTCTTGTATCTTTTTCAATAAATGTCTCTATTTTTCATACCACGTGGCTGGATACTTTCTGGACAGACCTCACAAATGGTAAAACTACATGCAACAAAGAGTGGAAAATGGGAATGTGATTAAGTTGTGGAAATCAAGCACATCATCAACAGGACCAGTGTGAACAAAAACAGATGTAACATTACACATATGATTATTTGTGACTTGGGATAAAATCTCCAGTGTCTTCATCACACATGCATTCAGAAGGTGCTGGAATGAGGGTAGTGTACTATGGAAAGCTGTCAGACAACTCAAAAAGTGGGCCTGGTATGACGAAAACGATATTGAGGAAGCATGAAGAGAGGCTCTTTAAAGCAAATTTTCATTAAATCACTGTGAAAAAAGTACTTTTAAAAATGTTTATTTTTTAACCAAATTTATCGAGGTCACATTGGTTCACAAAACCATGCAGGTATTAAGTGTATGACTCAGTAAAACACCATCTGCACATTTTTACCTGTAATGCAAGCAGCCATGCATTTCTTCTACATTTAGAGAACTATGCGTTTATTCAGGTTGGCCAAAACACTTCCCTTTCAATCATCGTGTTGGAATTATGAGGTTATATTTGCCACAAAAGGTTAATGTGTCAGGATGGAAAGGGTTTTACCTGGAATGAATTTTTGCCACTTCTGATCTATATTGTATTTCACACAGTAATTTCCTGAAGGAAATATAATAATCTGTTCATCGAAGAAGCAGATATTGTTGGTCACGTGGGATCGAAGACCAAAAGCATGCTGCGAGAGTGCAACCACGGTCGACATCGTCCCTGGCCGAAGAGTTAGTTCTGTGAAAACCGAGCGCCGCCCGTGAGCTCCAGTGCTCCGCCCCGCTCCGCCCGGAACACGCCCCTGACTCCGCCCCCAGGCTTCCTCCTCGCACTCCCCCTCCTCCAATGCCCCTCACTCTCACACTGGGCTAGTCTCCTGGTTCTCCCCTTTGCTTTGCACCCTTGCGGCTTCCTGCTCCTCCGGATGACTCCAGGGTACCCCCTCTCACCTTTGGCTTCTCCTCTCCGAGTCACCAGACGACACGTGTATTCAGGGGGAGTGTTCGTACGAATCCCAAGCGACTGGGGCACTTTCAGACGCTGTAGCGGTTCCTATAGCAACAGAAAACCGGAAGCTTGGGTCGGAGGCCGGAAGCGGAAGTCCGAGCAAGAAATACTGCAGCGGCAGTGGGTTGGTGGCGTCGGAGTGGTGCGCTTCCACGTGGAGCATCGTGGTGAGGGTCGGGGACTAAAAGCAGGCGGCAGCGGGGAGAGGCGCCCTTTTCCAGCCGCGCGGGCCTCAGCCTACTCTGCTTCCTCGGTTAGTGTTGGATGTGTGCGCTGCAAGATGGACAATGCCCTGCTCTCAGGCTCGGACTCGGATTCTGAAGATTCTTTCGTCACTGACAAGGAGGTAGGTGTCAGCCGAGTTGGTGGGGCTGGGCGCGGGAGGCCGCCTTACTCCCCTAGTACTGACAGCCGATTGTGCCCTGCAGTTGCAGGATGCGTTTTCTCGAGGGCTCCTGAAGCCAGGCCTTAATGCTGTGCTGGAGGCTCCGAAAAAAGCGGTGAACGACGTGGTGAGCTTGGGTGCCAGGTCGGAGGATACTCGGACGTGAGATGAGCACTTGGAACAGTTGTGCTTGGGTGGCTGAGTTCTTGTTGAAGGAAGGACGCAACACGCGCATTGTCAAGAGGGTCCATTACCTGTTGCGGTATTGGGGGTTAGCACTTTGTCGGTTGGCCTAGCACCCTGGGCTTGGGAGAAACATATTAAGGCTTCCCTTCTTAGGAGCTCAGTGTCTGAATTTCCTAGAATGGCCTGAAGCAGTGTTTGACAGAATTCAAGCGGGATCTGGAATGGGTTGAAAGGCTTGATGTCACCCTCGGTCCGGTGCCAGAAGTCAGTGGACCTCAGTCAACACCTCAGAACAAGGATCAGAAAGCTGTCGATCCAGAAGATGACTTCCAGCGGGAAATGAGCTTGTATGTTTTCAAATGTGGGAGGAGTTGTGGGTCCCTGTGCTACCGTGGGGGTCAGGGCAAGTGGCGGCCGGGGGACTGGGGTGGGGGGAGTGGAATAATGAACCCGTACTCCTCAGAAGATATAAGAAGCTTGGGAGCTGGGAGGAAAGCTTCTCTTGACCCAAAAGAGCTAGTGTGTGTGTGTGTGTGTGTGTGTGTGCGCGCGCGCGCAATTATTAGAACAAAAATTTTCTTACAGAAGGTTCTTATGTGGACTTAGTGACTACAGACCGTGTAACAATTCATAATTGGCATTAGTTTATAAGTTGATAGTTACTTTTAGAATGGTCATTCTCTTAAACTAATTCATTTTCAGTAATACTCCTGCCCCCCTCCTTTTAAAAGAATGTACAGTTAAATTGCTTCCAGAAACCAAGTTAATGAGATTTTAATAACTACAGATTTTGTTTGTGTGTGTGTTCTTGCTGATGAGGGTCAGATGTTGAGGGTCCTTCTGACCTTGGATAACTCCTGAGAGGCAGTGAGAAGGAATGTAAGGCCTCCCCCACTTAGCTTATTTCACACTTGGTGTTGTATCCTCAGCTACCGGCAGGCCCAGGCTGCAGTGCTTGCAGTATTACCCCGCCTCCATCAGCTCAAAGTCCCTACTAAGCGGCCCACTGATTATTTTGCAGAGATGGCCAAGTCCGATCAGCAGATGCAGAAGGTAAGAAAAAGGGAAGGTTTTGTTTTTTGTTCTTGTTTTTTTTCCCCCCAGAAAGTTGAGCCTTTGTACTTTTAAGTATATTTAAGTATATTTAAATATACCTATATTTAAGTATATAGGCTAATCACCTATAATGTTTAAAAAAATACTAAGCCTAATAGTAGGGAACCAGTTTCTCAGAGGACAATTATTATTTCTATTGTCTACTTCAGACTCATGCCAATCACCACCAATTAGGTAAATATAAGGATGACTTTTTCCTGATTTAAACAATTGAAGGGAGGAAAAGCAGTGGAAGAAGTGTGGTCCTAAGGTAAAGATGGCCCTGTGCATTTCCTAGCTGGCATGAGCAAGGCACGATGTGTAGAAAAAACACAGACCTCGTCCTGCTGTTGCCAGGGGCAGTGCTACAACTTGCAGACAATTCACTTTCTCTGAGCTTCAGTTGTCTGTAAAATGAGGGATCCATACACAGCTCAGATGTAGTATAATTTAGAGTTAGGTAGAACTTGGTCCTTATTTGACTTTGGGAGGAAGAGAATTGCCAAAATCTCATCCTAGATATTTCGAAATAGCTCCCTTGGGTCTCAAACTGGATGATAGGGAGCTCTTATCTTGGTGGTACTTAGGGAAGCTAGTCTCTGCATTCACACTGACAACTGCTCTTTCTTTAACTGAAATGTGTGTGTTTGATGGAAAAGGCTAGGTGCCTGATATCTGTTGGAGTTTTAGTGCATATCTGGTGTGTTGGAGAAGGGAATTGGGGCTGCATGCAAGTTTAACCTCAGTCTGCAGACAGTAGGTATGGGCAGAAGTTTATTTCTCTTGGCAAAACTGCAAGCAGCAGTTTTATATAATGGAGCAAATGGCACACTAGGATTGGGAAGGCTGCTTTCAATTCCTAGCTTCACTGCTGATATGTCTTGACAAAGTGCTCAGTCTTTGGGTCGCATTGCCCTCATGGGTAAAACTAGGGTCTTGGAGCAGATGCTTTACAGGGTTCCTTTGAGCTCCGTAGTTTGCAGAGCAGAAATATCTGTTTCCTGCTGTAGTGCACCCAAAGCAGTGGTCATCCCAGGTTCAAATAATGTGAGCTGACAACATTTTGTGTTTTAGATTCGACAGAAGCTGCAGGCAAAACAGGCCGCCATGGAGAAATCGGAAAAGGCTAAGCAACTTCGAGCACTTAGGAAATACGGAAAGAAGGTGAGGAGGAGGGGTGGGGGCTGTGGAAAGAGGCCCAGTGTGTTTGCCGGGCCCGGTTTCTGAGGTCTGATGTGGTTCTGCGCCCCAGGTGTGTCCGACCGTGTGTTTGCTCTCCTGTAGTGGGGTCTGTGCTCATATTCGTAGGTGCCCTCCTTCCTCCACACCAGTGTGTTACCAGGAGTGGTGTGGAATCTGTAGGCAAGTTCTTTACCTCTCCAGCTTGCACTTCTCTGTTTTTAAACCTTTAATTTTTTTTCATGTTTTTTTAAGATTTTATTTATTTTTGAGAGAGGAAGGGAAGAAGAAAGAGAGGGAAAGAAACACTGATGTTCGAGCAGTCAGTTGCCTCAGTCATGCCCCCAACCAGGGACCTGGCCCACAACCCAGTGTCCTGACTGGGAACCGAACCGGCAATCATTTGATTTGCAGGCCAACACATAACCCAGTGAGCCACACCAACCAGGGCTCCAGTTTGCACTTCTGTGCAGTGAAGAGGTGGGGGTCCAGATCAGTGGTTTCCAAACCTGACACAGCAGAATCGCCTGGGGAAATTTTTCAAAACAGATTGCTGGGCTTTAGTGTCTCTGGGACTCCGAGTATGTTTTCTTCCCTTCCCCTCAAAGCTCCTCCAAGGATTCCACTGTGTACCCTGGTTTGAGAATCACTCGCCCTGGCGATTTAAAGTCCTTGGAGGAATCATATTGATTGTCATTCAGTCAAAGAAAAATGTCACCCGTGAGTTTGAATGAACTATGACCATCTGAGTTCTAATGTAAAACCACAGCAGGCATACCATGGACTGTTTTTTGGTTTTTCTTCTTTATTTCACGATCCCTTAAGAAAGAGGATGACAGGAACTAAAGTTAGGGTTGTGGGAAGAAATGTGTGTGAGGAGGCTCAGCACAGCTGTTAACAGTTTGCTCATATTTTGGACATAAACACAGTGAGCTGGGGTGTGAGCTGCTGTCCTCATTTGGGGTCATTTCACTGATGGACCCTTCGTGGAGTAAGAGTAGATTAACATCCTGTCCTCTGGGGACGGGCCGCTGTGGATTTATTGGATTGATCTGGTGGTCAGTGGCTGAGATGAGCTCAAAAACATGGGCAGTCGGTTTAACATAAATGATCAAAAGCAAAGAAAAATTCGGTCAGGCCAGTTAGCTCACTTTTTCTAATTTGAGGAAATCTTAGGGCACTGCTTCTGGACTGGGGTGATTTTGCTTCCTGGGGGTCATGTGGCAGCGTCGGAGGCATTTTTTATTGCACATCTGGGTGGGGAGCGTGCAGCTGGACCCAGTGGATAGAGGACGGAGGCTGCTAACCATCCTGCAGTGCCCCGCATAGGCCACCCAGCCCGAACGGAGAGTTTTACCCTGTCCGGACTGTAGCAGTGCTGGGTTGAGAAACCCACCGTAGGGTCATCTCCTTTGTCCTTACTTTTCTGATTTTGGGGGACATTGCTTTTTTCCATTGGCAGTTTCATGACTAGTAACAATAGGTTAGTATTTAGTTAGCCCAGGTCCAGTTAATGGGGAGAAAACTGGGTGTGGACTGAAACGTGGTTTGCTACAGTTTTGCAGGCAGGGTTGTGTAGTGGGGGAAGGGTGCAGACTGCCTGCCTGTGAATCTCAGCTCTGCACTTCCCTGCTGTGTGACTGGAGCGAGTTACTTCACCTTTCTGTGCTTCAGGGTCAGGGACGTTAAGAATTTCTGGGAAGCTGAACTGAGAATGCACTTAGATCCGTAGCGTAGTTTTGGTATGCAGTAAATATTCTGTGGCAGTGGTGGCATTATCGCAGCCTTGATACTGGGAGAATATATACCCAGTTCAGTGATGGCGTGGAATGGCAGTAACAGTCCTATGTCTGTGTCCCAGGTGCAAACAGAGGTTCTTCAGAAGAGGCAGCGGGAGAAAGCACACATGATGCATGCCATTAAGAAGTATCAGAAAGGTCGGTATATCTCTCTCTGCTAAAGATACAGGGAGCGGGGTCCCTGCGGATTCTGTCACCTGCTGCTCCGGAGCCTTGATTGATTTGGAACTATTGGGAAGGGTGTGGGGAGCAAGATACAACTCTTCGAATCAATTCAGTAAGCAATGATCTTTTGAAGTTTAAGCACTTCTTAAAATGCAGTGGCACTAATGGAAATACTGCTTCATCCCAGGCTTCTCAGACAAACTGGACTTCCTTGACGGTGATCAGAAACCCGTGGCACGAGGCTCGAAAGAAGGCGCTAAAGGCCAGCCGACGCGGAAGGGGTAGGGAGTGTGGGTTTGCTTGGTGGTGTGTGCTGGGCAGCAGTTCACGGTAAGGCAGGGGCCTCCCGAAGGAACAGCCTCAAGGTTCAGAGAGCGTCACTGCTGCCTGTGGCTGAGACTTACTGGGCTGTGTGATGGTCCTTCAGCCCTGTCAGTCTTTGAGGATGAAAGTGAGCTGCTCTAAGGATTGGCCCAGTCCCGTGAATGTTCAGGCAAACTTGACCCCCCGTCTCACAGTGGGGTGGTTAAGAGCACGGTCGACGGTTCAGATCCAGACTCTGCCACTCATTGGGAAGGTAGCTTTGAGGAAGTTACTTTACCTTTTGAAATGTCGATTTCCTCATCTGTGAATGTGAGAAAATTATGTGTGCCTCCTAGTGTTATAAATATCAAAAGGGATCACGTTGGATATTATTATTCTTTCTAGTTCACCGTTAGGCATTCCTGGACACCAGGCTGTGGGTAGCGATCATTTCTGTGGGATGTAGTGCATGCTCTGATGAGGTGTTTAGGGGTCGTGTGGAGGCATGCGGGAGAGATACTCCACCTGGCCTGGGGATGGCTTCCTGGAGGACGGTCCCCCCTGAGCTTAGTCTGAAGGATGAATAAGAATTAACCCGGAGAAGAGGAGAGACGCAGGTTTGGGGAATGGGGGAGGACACAAATGAGCAACAGTTTAGGGACAGGAACAGCAGGTTCGTATGGGAACAGCAAGCATCTGGTGTCCCTGGGAAAACGGAGACTTGAGCGGAGACGCCACTGGAGGAGGCCCTGCGCCGAGTTGCAGAGATGGTGTCTGTCTGCCTCGGGGAGCAGCTCGGGCTTTATCCATGGGCAGCGGGGAGACTCCGATGGGCTTTACTCAGAATAATTACTGTGCAGGTCATATTTGTGTTTTTTAAAAAAATTAGTGTGAACGATAGACTTGAGGGGCAGGGAAGTTAATTAGGGGACTAATAAAGACCAGGTGACCAGTGGTAATGACCTGAGTGTGGTTGTGGGGGTGGAGAAGAGAAAATAGGTGGAAGGAATATTCAAGAGGTCAGCTAGCAGGACTTGGGCATAAGGAAGAATCGAGACTGACTCCCAGGTTTTACTCACCTTTGGTTTTAGTCGGTGTCTGGGCGAATGGGAAGTGCCACTGGCCTCTTTAGGGCGTATGTGCAGGAGGCGAAACCACGCCTGGAAGGGGGCGGCATGCGATTTTGGAAGGCTGAATTTGAGATTCATGCGGGATGACCAGCTTTAAGATTTTTTACATTTGAATGTTAACTGCGGGTCTGTATCCCCGAGAGGCACAGACACAACTGAGGATGGTTTAGCAAGATTTAGTGAAAATAGAAAGCTTTTTGAATTTAGTCGGTGAGCCACAAAATGTATGTGGATCCTTTCCTGGTCCTTGCTTTGCTTGTTTTCCTGCTCTGGTGGTTAAACCTGTGAACAGGCGAGCTTGCCTGGGGAGTTTGCTTGGTAGGAGTGTGGGGCCAAGGATGAGATTCTGGGTAGCAGTGCTGTCTTCTTACAGACAGAATACTGAGGGTGTTGCGGGCCATAAGATGGATCAGGATTTGCAGGGCCGAGGGTGACCTGTAAAACCACTTTTTCCCAGTCCCAATGCCAAACGTCGCTATAAAAACCAGAAGTTTGGTTTCGGTGGTAAGAAGAAAGGCTCCAAGTGGAACACTCGGGAAAGCTATGATGATGTGTCCAGCTTCCGGGCCAGGAAAGCTCATGGCAAGGGCCTCGCCAGGCCTGGAAAGAAAGGACCAAATGTAAGTGAGCGTGGGGACCAGCTGAGAGGCTGCGCCTGCCTCCTCTCCCCACCCACACCCACCCCTTCCCTTCCCTTCCCTTCCCTGTGCATCCTGGCTGAGGGGGGCACAGAAGGCCAAGCTGCTGTGTGACCACATGTGGCATTTCTTTCTCTGTAGAAAAGACCTGGAAAAAGGACGAGAGAGAAAATGAAGAGCAGAACACGCTAAGCAGCATCTCCCAGAAAAAGGACGAAGACTTGGGATTTCACAATACATTGGATCCCTTATGTTGGTTTCTTTTTGTAAAAAATATTTTCACTAAATTAAAAAATGTTGAAACATATACCCTTCGATGAAAACTCAGGACTAAAAGATTTAGAAGTTACTTTTACATGTTAACTGATAATTCTATTTATTGATAATAATTTAGACATTGAGTCCAAATTGTTATCCTTTTATGATAGATGAAGATTTAATGCCCCCATTCCTCTCCCTCATCCTCCCATATAGTTATCTCATTACTTTAAATAAATCAATAATCAGTGTTTATATCATTAATATCCTTTAAACAGCCATCGTTGGAGAGCTAGATGAAATGTGATGTTTACTTTGTGGCACAGTTTTTGTTTTTTTCTTGGGTTGTTGCCTTACATTTTTCTGAGAGCCCAGTTTTCCTTCCATGTCATTATATTTCCTTAGATGTTTCATTGTTTTATCCATCTTCCTAATTTCCCCGCTGTAACCTAGGTCTGTCACACTAGTGTCCCCTTGTCCCTTTACTAGACCTTCCAGGTTGTATCTGCTGTTTCCCGGAGCCCATATTTTCACGTTTACCCCGTGCCTCCCCTTGCTCTGCACCATTGTCTGGTATCTTCCTGGGAAAAGGAACATGGGAGGCGAATTTCTTGTCTCTGCGTCACTTGACTTGCCTTTAATTTGGCCGGATTCCGAGGGGGCTGAGCCATGCCGCTTTGTCTTGGGGCCTCCTGTGTGGCCACTGGGGAACCTGTGCCATTGTAACCCTCGACTTGCCTCCGGAAGCTTTTCTTGTGCCCGACATCTGAACGCCATGAGGCCAGGCCTCGGTGTGCACTTCTTTTTGTTCTTTGCTTAGGGCATTTGGATGGGTGGGAGGGCCTCAGTTCCGGTAGGGTTTGTGTTGGGAAGCTTCCCCTGTCTTCTTCGTTCTCGTTCTGCAGTTTCTGTCAGGGAAATAAATACTGAACCTCTCCTGGTGATCTTGGTTTGTATTCATAGCAAGCTCTACTTGGTGGGAAGATTTCTTTCATTTTTTCTAATCATTTTATTGAATACTTATTTTAGTGTACATTTTTCATTTTATACCCGAGAGTTTTTTGTGTTCCGACTGATCCTTTCTCACATCATTTTACTTCTGCTCTATAGATGCAGTCTCCAATCCTATCCACATAAATTACAGTTTGGTTTGTAAAAGGTTTCTTTTGTTCTCTTCATTCTGTTACCTCGGGATTCCCCACACCCTTTTCTGTGTGTTTGGGTTTCCATTTTTCATGTTGAGTTTCTAGTACAAAAAGATTGAATTTAGTTTCTGAAAACTAATTTCACATAAAATTCTGAGCCAAGAGGTCATATTTTGAGAAGAATTAGTAACTTTGAATTATGTTTGGAATATATTGAGTTGTAAGGCAGGAGGGTACAGGTTAACTACATTTTATAAAGGTAAGAATAAAAGTAAGCAGTCTGTGCTGTGTACATTTTCAGCCCTCAAAGTGAATCGGTGAGGGCACTCTTCACCCTTATGTTCTTTATTTTCTTTTTTTTTAAGATTTTGTTTATTTTTAGAGAGGAAGGGAGGGAGAAAGAGGCAATGTGCACCTCAATGTGCAAGAGATACATCGATCACTTGGCTCTTGCATGTCCCCAAGTGGGAACTGGCCTGCAACCCAGGCATGTGCCCTGACTGGGAATCGAACCACCAACCTTTCCACTTGCAGGCTGGCACCCAATCCACTGAGCCACACCAGCCAGGACTATACTTCCTGTTCTTTAAAATGCCATTTCTTGCATTGCAAGGAAGCAGCCTAGCAGTTTCCAGGACCCAGGACAGGCTGTTCTTGCTTTGCTCAGTTCCAAAATGTGTGGGTTTCAGTTATCAAGTGCAATTAAGTAACAGCAGTTTCTCAACACTGTTCCAACTTCAATGGTCAGAGTATTGTTAAGTGTGCGTGCTAGCAGAAAGGAGAAACCTTTCTATTAGCCTTTCAGTCCCCAATCACTGCAGGAGTTACAGAGGCATAGATTTCAAGGTCTAGGTGATGGTCCCTGCACATAGTGACCTGTGGAATTGTCGCTGTGCCTCCATTACCCAGCAATGAACCTGCATGGCACTTTACAAAAGTAGATAATTGAGGGAACTGATGAAGATGAAAGCACAGTGAAGAAATGAAAAGTGATGAGGCCAGAAGCAAAATTCGAAAAGCATACACATGGAATTGAAGTCACAGCCGAGGTGGGTGTGGTGAGAGCTGTCATCCTGGAGAGCAGATGTGCAGCCAGAGACCTTAATGGACACGAAGAGGAAAGTGATGGGGAGGATGAACACGTCCGGAAATAATGGCACTGGCAAAAGTAACCGCACAGAAGGGGTCCTTGGAGATATTTTGTTACATTGAAAGTAGAAATGATTAAGTGCAGAAGTGATTTCAAATTTAAAAACAAGATTATCTGCAGAGGCGTAGAAATAGTGCCTGCTCCGTGTCATGATAACAGAAAAAAGAAGGCAAAGTCTGTTTTGTTTTGTTTTATAGGAAACACTTGATTCTCAATGTTTTGGCTTAAATTATGGTCTACTAAGTAAATAATAGTGTTTTTCATTTTCTAGAGCATTTCACAGTAAGATGTTTTACTAGTTTGACAAAAGTTTTAAAATTCATTGTCATGAATATATTTGGAAGAGAGCAGGAGAAGTGGACTAGCTGAATCGGACAGAGGCAACTCTGATCTAGTGTGAATTACAGATTAGCTTCCAGAGTCTTCGTCAGCACAGTGTTGTCTGCTGCGAGAGTGGTCATGGCCTCTCCCCCTTGTTTAGAGCAGCCACCTCCCCCTGCTTGCACCTCCTTCCCAACATCACTGTTACTTTGTCCATCAAGTCATCTGAAGAGGTACCTGTGTGTAGTCTTCAGTTGACACAGTAGTGCAGCACCGGGAAATGACCTCTTGCTGCAACTATGCAAAGTGATCTTGATACACTTTGACAGAGTTTAAACGTGGGGGCGTGGTGCCTAGAGCTTCCATGCCCTCTTTGGACACGTCCATGCCCTCTTTGGACACGCCGCCTGGAAGGTCTCCAAACCCTGCAGTTAGAAAGGTTTGTGGAGGCTTCTTCATGCAGACATGGTTGAATAAATCATGGCCAAGGATGAGAAAGTCTTCACCCCTGTCCTCTCCCTAGAGGTGGGTGGCAGGGCTGAAAGTCCCAAGGTTGTAATCAAGGCTTGGTCCTACTGGTGAGCGGCCCCCATTTGGGATCTATCTAGTGGCTGCCAAGAGTCACCTCATCACCTCATTACAGCAAAAGACTATCACGTAGGAATTGCTGGGGATTTAGGGGCTCTGGGCTAGGGACTGGAGAAAGCAAGTATCTTCGGATGACACTAATGAGCAGCCAGAGGGGAAATAAAGCAGGGCTCCTGCCCAATGCAATCTAATGAAGAAGTTAAAACAACAGGAGGCTGGAAGCAAAAGGGAGACACATCTCACAACCCAGCAGTCCTGACCCTAGTCCAATAAGATTGCCAAGTGTTCTGAGAATCAGAAGCAAAAGTACGATAGTGCAGGAGGAGGGGAGCCCTTGAAAGCCTGTGGATTCATTCCCAAGGTCTAGAGGGCGGGACTAGGGGGAACCTAGAAACCGAGTAAAGTATATAACCCCCGAACCCCAAAGGTTGAGGCACTCAGATTAGCTGGGTGCCCATTTGTAGTCATGTGCTCAAGTGTATAGAACAAACCTAACAACTTTATTTCCCCATACACAGGGCACGCAGACTAGCCGGGTGCCTGCTTGCAGCTTCGTGCTGAAGAGTATTTCATAAATAAACTTGCAATCTGAGTTCCACTCTATGGGTTTGCCTCTCGCCTGAATTCTCTTGTGAGCAAGATGAGAACGGAGGAGGGGCAGCCCTCCCGACTCAGGCAAATACCTTCGTCTGATACCACATCACCTCCTGGTCTTTGACCACAGACCCTCACTCAGAGCAGCGATTTTCTACTGGTGCGCTGCACGACTTAAAACATGCAAAATCGGGCTGTTTAGTCAGGGACACCGACTCTTTTCCCTTAGATGGTCAAATAAAAAAATGACAACAGCCAACACAACAATAGCCATCCAGTGTGAATGAATCAAAATTGTACCTATTTTTTTTTGTCTGGTTGGCAAAAAAAAAAAGGGGTTTGGTGTGCCACACAATTTTAGTGTATACTTAGTTGATATGCGCTGTGAGATGAAAAGGGATGAAAAATCACTGCCTTATAGCAAAAGGATTATTGGCACATTCCTAGACTCCCACACAGTCATTAATAATTAGTCTAATCCATCATCTATTGTATGAAAATGTCTCCCGGGGGAGGCCACGCAGGTTTGCGGGCTTTCACCAGACACTCAGGTCCCCAAAGCAGGAGTGATTTCAGCAGTGCACGGCTTCAGCCTTTCAGACGCGACTGGCAGCCAAGTGGAGGAGATGCACAGGGCGGTGGGGGCGGGAGGGGCCGCGGAGCTGCCCTGCCTTCCCTACTGCGCCACCTCCCAACTCCTCCACGTGTTCCCAGACTGCGCGTTCCCTGGCTTTTTTTTTTTTAGGATTTTATTTATTTTTAATAAGGGAGGGGAAAGAGAAGGAAAGAAACTTTGATCTGTTCCTCTCATACCCACTGTAAATGGCAACCAAATCCAAAACCCAGGCATGTGCCCTGACCAGGACTCAACCACCAACCTTTCATTTTGCCAGACGACAACCCAACCAACTGAACCACACTGGTCAGGCCCCCAGCTCTTTTTCCTTTTTTTCATATAGAAGTTTCTCCAGTCTCTAGTGTTTTGTTTTGTTTCTTACATGAGCTTTTAGTCCCCTTACACATTCCCACCCCAGCTCTTTTTAAAAGGACTTTTAAAAGGATCTATGTGGGAGGTTTTCTCTCGAGAGCTGTTTTATTCTCCCAGAGAGGATTCCACCAGCTTCAAACCCAGGGTAAAAATGCATTACAGCTGTGGGCTAGGGATTCAACCTCTCCTTCCCAGATTTTCAGTTTTCAGCCTCATACCTTTGTTGCTACCCTGTGCTTTACTGAATTTCCCGGAACCCTGGACTCTTCCTGTTTCACGGGAGAATAACCCTCCAGTGTGGGAGATGTTAAATGCCTGGGCGCTGGTGCGTGGAGTGGGCCTCCCTGCAGACTCCCTACCGACGTCCACTTCATTTCCCCGTTTCACACCCCATTCTGTCTAAGGGCCCAGTGACAATTGGGACCTGGGCTCTATGCCGAGAGGTGTCCCACTGAGCCTGCATTTGGTGGCTTCTTACACCCTCTTTCACTAGCTTTCCATCTTCGAAATGTCTTCAGTTTTCTTGGTTGCTAACGATTCTCTCCCAGTTTGTGTGGGTTCATACCATCCGTATCCCTTTACTTCCTTTACTGGGGCCTGGGAAGGCAGAGCAGACACTGTGTACAG